ATTGTCCCACACTATCTCAGAATATCAGGATGTCCTCGATCTTATCCGCGCCATAACCTGGAGCTCAACAGAACCTTTAGAAACTAACATAAAACACTTGGGTTTCAGAATGGTTTTCTAGAAATCTGCCAAAGAAAGAGAATATTTTATACTACCCTTAACTTCAGAATCATATTAAGCAGGTAAAATCGAGGACATCTTGATATTCTGAGATAGTGTGGAACAATTTTGACTGAGTTATGAATTTTGCCCCTCTACGCAAAAATAGGCAAAAATGAATAATTTCACCTAATATAGGATTCCGAACTTTTGCGAAAAACAAACATTGCCACGCGATTTAGCGTGGCCGATAACCTATGTTTTAATTCACTTTCGGGATTACCATACCTAAGAGAATTAGGGCTCCCAGCAAATCCGATGCCACACGTCAAAAATGAAACATTCAGAGGTTTAGTATTTTAAATTTTTCCGTTATGCACGAGATTTTCCAGAGATGCTCTCAAAAAACCGCTTTGGAAAAACGTTTTGAAGTTCCTTCCTCCTATAAAAACATGTTCCATAAGTCGCTCTTTCGATATCTGAGAACTCCACTTCTCTTGCTCTTTCTGTTTTCGACTCACTGCAAAAACTCGAATAGCCATGGGTTATTCTTTTCTCGGATGGACAATAGTTTGCACAAATATTATTCTTAGAAATAATCTTCATTCAAAATGTTAATTAACGCGGTAAACTCTCAAATATTTTAATTACGTCATTTTGTAAAAATGATAAAATATCCGAATTATTGTGCGACGAAGATTTCACACGTCTCTTTTACATTGACTCCAATTCTGAACATTGTATATAATCGAATTTTTCTTCCAGTAGTATTTATAAATCATTCATTTTGCACCTACCTTGATGATAAATATCTTTTGAGTTTAATCCTCTTAAACACATATAAAGTGTTGAACCATAGTAGGGTAAATTTAATACTATATGTGCTTGTTCAATTGTTTTCTGTTGATTCTGTAATGAGTGATCAGATACGATTGTTAATAGATATCGTTTATCTTTTCGATCATATTCACACGATTCGCCATGAGTAGTAAATGAAAGTACCGATCCATCCAAATAATAACCATAGATAATAAACTCTATCGGTTTATCTTGTTGAATTTCCCATTCACTTTCACCCCTGTTGTTATATAAATAATCACCTTTATATTTTGGTAACATTGATAAAAGAACGGTTTGAGTAGTATTTGATGGAAAATCATTGTCGTTCGCATCATGAAATCGAAATCCTCCCACTGGTGATACTTGACGGTCAGTATCCTAAAAATAAAGAAAATGTGCTTTTATAGAAAGTCTCGTGTTTTATCAATCAGAGCTCTATAAAAAATGAAATTATGATCAAAATATTGCAATAATGTTTCTACAATCTTAGAAATATTACCCATTATATCATTTCAGTAAATTAATTAAGATTCTCTGAAATGTCTTGTTTACCTTATTCAATAATTCTTGTACTGTTGCTGAATTCACTGAATATTGACATAGAATACACTGTGTAATACACAATAATGATAAAATTAACCACATAATTTCTAATATTGGATTGTAAATAGAAAAAAAAAAAAAATAAATAAATAAAAATACTGTATATAATAAATACTGACAATAAAAGAAAATATCCACAAAACAGTATTATGCAAAACGAATAATACTAATACACAATGATTAATAAAATATAGAATTTCCTAATAATAAAAACATATTTGGGATGAATTATAAAACTCACTAAAATATCACATAAAATAAAAAATAAAAATAAAAATTTGCGTACGATAATTGATAAACAAAAAATACGAAAGACACTAAATTGTATTTATACTACTAGTAGTCATTGAATGTTTTTTATTTAATATAATATATAAATTTCTTGAACAATATAAAATAATTTTTGATATTTTATAATTCCAACTTGCTGTTGAGGTTCTTGTCAATAATATTGTTGACATATCTAACAATAATACAATCGAGTGTAATTAATAATCAAAATTTGTTTAGAATTGTTACGTCGAACGTCGTTTAGCAACATAAAAAATAGTCTAAAACAAAAAATTAACAAGATAAAATAATTTTTTTTTTTTTTTTTTTTTATTATGGGAAATATTTTTATATTCGATTTCTCAAATATTTGATTATAGATTCAATAATATGAAATACAAAATTAGATTTATGTGATCTTCTTGTAAATATTAGTTTGTATATATGATTAGTTTGAATAGTCACATCATCTTTAGACATAAACGGTTTTTTTAATCATAAGTAAAAATTTTCATTTAAAATAGACTTCTCAAAAATATACATTTCTAATTGTCTATTAATCTATCTGTGTATGTGTGTGTGTAGTTAACAATCTGTAAATAACAAACACGTGTCATTATGTTCTTACTATGTTTATATATTACAATTATGTGTGGAACTTACATATGTGTATTACTGACATTAAATAGAAAGAAAATATTTTTTTTCTAACATATGACACGAATTTGTAGTAAGAAGGAAAAATAACAATTTCTATATAGAAGAAAAATCACACTACTCATTTAAGAATAATCTCATAAATTGTAAATTGATGATTCGATGTTCGATTAGTTCATTAATTAATATTTGTAAAACGATACTTCTTTCTTTTTTTTTTTATTGTATATCAACGTATTAATTCCATAGTAAATAAGAAAACACTTATAATTCATGTGTAAACTGTAGAAGAAGAAGAAGAAAAAAAAAACAGGACAATAAGAAAATAAGGTATTTGCCTATAATTTACAATTTTATACTACCATACATAACATCAGGTTGAGTTATCAATAGAGTAGATAAGACAACAAAACAAAAGAAAAAAAAAAAAGAAGAACAGCCTGCATGCACTCTCACAGCTATTTGCTTTAGCAGATTTTGATTGATTAACACACGCTCAGATAAGATGCCATCTAAAAGAACTATAAGAAGGACTAAAATAGAATCAGAATATATATGTTACATACAAGAAGGAAATGTGAAGATAAACATGCCCATTGAAACTCTTTATCTGTTCCATAGGCTATAAATATTTAGTTGATTTCAGTTATCGTAAGTTTTCACTGAACCATGTGCACCTGCTAAATCCCACATACACAAACACACACAATTTTATCCATTTATATTTTCAATTATTCAGAAACGACAATATCCTTGTACTATTTTGTTTCTTTTATCTAAAGAGATTTTTCTTATCTGACTATAACGACAAATTTAGATCATTTATTTTGTTTTTTACAATTAATTATTTTCTTAAATATTTTAAAAATAATAAACTTTACTTATCATTTTTTAATGCATTTTATTTTATCATTGTGGTTTAATATAGACACTAGCAAAAATTTTAAATATAGAAGGAAAAATAGAGAAACAAGAGGGAAAGGGTGTTACTTACCTCTATATATCCTTATGTTTGCTTGCAAAATAATAACAATAGGAAAGAAGAATGAAAGAAAAAGAAGAAGAAAAAAGTACGACGTATATATTTCTCGAGGCAAATTTCAACGATTTATTTTTGGAAACTATTAATTTTCAATTTTGAGATTTTGTCTCTCGTTTGCTTAAAGGTTAGATTTAATTAATAACAGTAAAAAGAAAAGGAACAAAACTTACATTTAAAGAAAAAGGGCATGCATCAATGAACTACATAGGTAAACTATAATACATGCGTCTAAAAGCACATGTCAAAGTATTAGTAAAAATCGATCTCGGCACAAAAAATTTAACTGAATAGAGAAAAGTAATATACCGTAGAAAAAAAAGTATTTTTATGTTATTTTTTTTTTGCAACAATTCACAATTTCTAAAAGAAGATAAAGTTTTCTTTATTCCGCTAGACAACACGAACATTTAAAATGAAAAAAACAAACAAAACACTAGATCAACTATAGGTATTTAACATACTTCAAAAATCATAAGAATTTATATATTGAAAATATTCGAGGCTCTTCAGTGATACGGAAAATTATGAATATGTAGTATTTTAAATAAGAATAAGACAAACTTAAAACCATAAAATCAAAGAAAATAGAAAATAAACTCAGATTAATCAAAAGTATCATTCAATTGGAATATTCGAACTTTTCAATGACAAATAAAATGATTTGAAGAATAATAATTTTATTTTCATCAGTAATACCTAACTCCTATCAAATATCCAATATTAACAGCATATAACATGTCTATTTTTTTCTTTCTGAATAATTTTTTCAAAAAAATAAGATTCACATAACATAAGATGAAAAAATAGACCCAAAAATAAAATATGATTCATTCATTCCTATAATCTATTCTTTTTCTTTTATTCCTTATTTAAGAATGTAAATAACTTATATAATAGTGTGCACAAGTATAAAAAGCCATACATCTAGATTTACCTTAAGCAAGTGGATGAGAGTAACAAGAAAAAGAACCAATTGAAGCGAATCGCATAATGATAGAACAAAAAAAAAAAAGATGTGCTTGTTTCATAAATTTTAAAAACAACAACAAAGTTATTTTTGTCTCGTTGTCCTTATGCAAAATTCCCACCTTGAAAAAGTATACTTAACGAAATGAGATAAAATAAATAATCAATGTCCGTATACGAAATAGGAAAAAGAAAGTGTGAATGAAAGGTATTTCTGATAAAAAAAACGGATTCATCAATTCATACGTTAGTTATGTGTTCATCAAAATAGAAGTCAAGATTTATGATCTGTCTCTTTTATCAAAGTGTTTTGCACTGTTAATATTAATAAAAAAAGAAAGATTAAAATAAATCTAAAACTAAAAAAATCTAATTCAACTTACGTGAGTGAATAGAACGTTCAAAAAATAGAAATGTAGACCAAAATTAGAATTGAAAAAAATATGTGATAAAATAGTAACACAACTGACACGATTTGTTTCATATTAAAACAATGTTTTTCTATTTAGAAAAAACAGAGAGAAATTTCTATAGATGAATTCTACAAAAGTTATTTGTTATACACTTAGAGAAATTCATATTTGACTTACTAGTGAAATAGTTTCTAATTCGAAACTATTACTGATATCTAAGAGAATATCCTAAAATATTTTTTCATGAATAAAAGTTTACATTGTTGTCGAATTGCCATTTACTTCTAATCCCATACTCCATGGTGTATACATTAACACCTTCGCACAGTCAATGAAGTAAGATTAATATACTTCGATAGTGAACAATTACGCGAAAAGATAAAATGCAATAAAAGTTGTGGTCTCTCGATGGTAAAGTATCATTCTAGTTGGATAAATTAATTTTTTTTTGAAATATTGTAGATGAATAAAAACCAAAAATCAACCGTTTTAACTTGAAAATCTACCCTATAATAGAGTGTTGTAAATTTTTTGGCGACTCTTCTTCATAGAAAATCGTTCAATTAAATAAGTATATTGTAGGAGTTTACTCTCGCTCTCTTATTAATCCTGATCTGACCATCTATAATATGCTCAAATTCCACCGGTTTCATTTGGATACTGTCTGAATACAACGGTTAGATTTTACCGCTTCACTTTATATACCACTGAATGACAATAGGATGTATTATCAATATGAACTAATTGTATCCACTCATTATTTATCTGGAAGATCAGCAAGACATATCTTCAAAACACTCGTTTTCGTCTGGGATCCGCACGGATCCCAAGTGAACGGATCAAGGTTAAAAGAACCATCCACTTTACTTTGAATTTGACAAGTATCAATCAATCATAACTTTTTTAATATAAATCCAACATTTCCACACTTTAATAACATTCAAAAATATTACTACTGTGATTAGAGCACATACTTCATAAGAAAAATACATAAGAAATAAAACTGGTTTCAAAGTGTACGACATTAACAAAGAAATTAGTGTGGGCTTAAATTTATAAATTTTTGTTTGAAGTATATAATGTTACTTTCGCCTTTCACCAGCCAAAATCAATACTATATTCAGCATGAAATTCTGAATCGAATTATGTATACACCGTTTAGCAACTTGAATACATAAAGAAAATTTTAAAAAAAAAAGTAATTCCTAAAAACAAAATTCTTCTAATATCCATCCATTTTGACTGTCTCTATTTTTTTTTGTTGAAGATCCTACTAATTTAGAATACTGGAATAACTTTATGTTACATTTATTTCTAACAAAAATGATTTTTTACTTCTTCAATTTCGCAGTGTTATTATTTAGTACAAAATGTTTGCCAATGAGACGGCGAAAATAATAACGTATATTTACTTTTTGTTTATTAGACCTTATAGTTTCTTTTCCTCGTGTTATTATTATTAACGCACGATCCGGACCAGTGAAAGCATATGGTGCGTTTATTAGAACACTCAATCTAATTAAGTTTAAAGCTTGTATGACTGTCAGATATTTCAGATGCTTGAATCAATAGAAAAGAGAGAAAAACAAGTCACAGGAGAGATGTACAAGTGCTTAGTTACAATATTATCTTGGAAGTTTGATAAAGAATTAAAAAACTTGATCGTTTCTATAAGAAAATATTCAAGATCAAATCAAAAAAATATTTCTTGATCTGATCTTACCACTTTCTTAAGCTGATCTTATGTTTAGAAAATAGAAAAAAACAGAAAACTTGACTCTTTATATATAGGCTCTGGTTTTCTGAATAGTAAACTAAACATTTTGTAAGGCTTATATAGTTAAAGATTTGCAAGTGCCTATCAGGTCTAGAAATTAGTCTGCATCCACATAGGAAAAACCAATGCCATCTCAATAAGTTAATCAGATAGTCGAAGAAAACTGTGGGTGTGATGTACAATATCGTATTAGTAACACAACAGACTTCACAGTTCCTGTTGACTAAATACTAGTTAACTAATAAGTTGGATCTAAATCACATTTTGAAAGTAGATCTCCACTTTGTTTCTGCTTCTATCACCAGTCATAATAAATATTGGTTAGACGTACAAAAATTAACGCCATACTCTGTGCGATTTAAAAAATTGTCCACCTTGGTAGCGGCGCAGGCACTTGAATTTCATCCCTAGAATATCTTGATCTTTCCATTATTTGTTCATTTTAAGATAACGGTCATACAAACGGTCAACCGACTCTGGGACTAAATACAAAAAGTTCTATCAGCATCTATTTTTTCGTTCTTCATTCATGTTGTTGTTTCATTAACACGTTCACGGTCCATGTATCGTATATGAATGATTTAATTTTTGACCATGGAGTTCATGTATCAGATATGATACATTTCCAAGACACGTTTCATGTCCATAGTAAACTATCAAATTTAATGTAATCTTGGAAATATATCCTATCTGATACATGAACGCCATAGCCAAAAATTAAATCATTCATACATAAACAATGAACGTGTTAAATATGTTCATTAGATAAAAGAACAAGAGAAACAAATAAGACTAGATGCCAACTACCCTACGGGCAGATTGGAAACTCGACCGTATCTTAGAAACATTTCAGACACCGCTTGGATCCCTTAAATACGATTAGAACACTGCAGTGCTCTAGTAGTAAACATTTTGATGCATTCTATCGGTAGATATATTGTAGACTATAAATGCACCGAAGTATACAGAAGTATAGACTGATAAGTAGCATACGTGACTACTTAATGAATCACTCTACACTATTCATACTGAAGGTATGTGACGTGTCTGATAATTATTTATCTCATTCAAAAGATATTGAAAATATGCTCAACTTTTGAGACTCATTACTTAATAACTAAAATATATGTCGAAAAAGAACTTCAGCTGTTTCATCTACCTCTCTTGCACTCTCGA